TGTTTTGTTATTGTCTTTGTTTATTTGGACCTCTAATTGGGTAAATTTTTATGAGGAGTGCTAGGAGCACTCGCTCCAACACTCTCCCTTCAGCACCCTCTCCCTTGTTTTGCCACGTAACTTATACATTTAAATAGTTGATGGGCAACCTGTTTACACTTTTGGCTCAACCACATCAGTACTTTAGTAGTCTATTTTTATTTATTTAAAAATTAATATTTGAGGATATATTCCTATTTCCCCTCGCAGCCATTTCCATCCCTATCTCCATTACTCTCTTCCCAAACCAGGCTTCATCTTGCTCCCCTGATAATTTGAAGGCAAATCCTAGACTTTAATCCAACACCACCCCTTCTATTCTACCTTCATACTTTCCTCTCTTTAACAATCACTCTCTCTCCCACAAGATTTTCAGTCTTCTGATCCATATCTTCATATCAAGCTTGGATTTTGCACGAGTTTTTTTTTTTATTTTTTGTAGGTGAGAACCAGTAGAGGAGCAAAATGAGAAGTAGTATTATGAAATTTCCCTAATTTGCGTGGGAGTAATCATAAAAAAGGAGAGTAATTGAAAAGTGTTGCAATTTGTATAGAGGGTTTGCAGAAATATGAAGGACTGAAGAAAGTCTTTGGGTTGTGGTTAAAAATGAAAGGTGGATGACGGCAGTGCGGGTGCGTTTGAGAAAGACCCATTGGATTCTATATTATCATTCCTCTGCAAAGAAAAATTTTCCCAGCAAACGTGCTCTACACATTCCTCTACAAATTTAATTTTACTGCAAATTTGTCCTGATAATCTTCATAGCACAGAAGGAACCCAACCCCTTTTTACCAACACCGACGAACGGCCACATAAAACATCCCGTGCCCAGATAGCCAAGCCCGATGGCGGCCAACGATAGGAAGAAAATGAGAACGAATGAGAAATAAAACAGAGAAAGAGAAAAGAAGAGAGAGTACAATTGCACAAAGCTAGATCCATATTTGGGTTCTCAAATTTCTTCCTTTTTCCCCATATCGGCCCTCTCTCAAAAAAACCCACAAAATGAATGAAAATACTTGTAGATCTGGGTTCCTTGCTGAACCTAACGTGATTTTGCAGCCAGATCTAGCGCAAGAGGAGAGAAAGTCTGGTACAAACAGAGGATAGAGAAAGCCTGGTTCTGGTTCTGGTCTTAGTAGAGAAGAAGAGGAGAGTAGGAGTTCTAGTTTACGGAAAGGAGAGGAAAAAATAAGTTCAAACCTAAAATATGGGGGATTCTGTTTGGAAAAGAAAACAAAACAAAATTGCAGGGATTCTATCAGGGAGGAAGGAGGAAGGAGATGATTACGAGGGCATTGATGTAATTTGAATATTGCATCACACTACCATATGTATTTATTTTAATTTAATGCTAATAAAATGGTCACCCACAATTGC